CAGTCGAATCATTACATTCACTTACGTGCCAATACCCTTGGGAAAGGTATGAATCCTCTTCTTCTCCCTTCAACTATGGGTAAAATAGCAGGACAGACTGGGTTCTATAGCCTTGGATGACAACTGGTCTAGGAGAAGGACAACTCTGAATTCAAACCCTATCGAGGGTCGTTTGGGGACCTTGTGGCATTCGGTGCACCAGGTCTCTGTATTCGGCCCTTCAAAAAGTGTGGATGGTCCTGCACGAAACCATCACCACAATAATCAAATCTCATGTGCCGGTGTCGGGCTGTCGGTTTCCTGGAAACTGATCTGCTTGACCCTCATACGAAGTCGACTATATATATATATATATATATATATATATATATATATATATATATATATATATATATATATATATATATATATATATATAGTCTGTCAGAAGCTTACTTAATATTATTTTATTTTAAAGGATATAAGAATATATTGTAAAAGCAGATCTCCCTTCTTTCGTAGTTTAATTTAATTTCATGAGTATTTCGTAGTTCATTTTATTTAACTGACTTCAAATTTGTAAATAGTTATAAATCAATTTTAAGGAATATTTTGGTGTTTTATCCATTTTTTTCTTTTCTATTATTTTTTATTTATTTTATTTTTTATTTTATTCTTTGTGTGTATAGACAAAATATACGGCATGTTTATGGACAGTTATTTTCATTTTGCGAATACATCCATTTAAATTTTACTGACCTCTAATAATGTTAAGAATCAGGCTAAACGATAAAAAATGTGATAGTAGGCTTGAGTTTAAGTACCCACCATCTAAAAGAAAAAAGCATAAATAAAATAAAAACGGCAAATATTTAGAGTAAAACACTACACAATACTTAAGGAAAAGGGTTAAACTTAGGAACATTAAGATTACCTCCTATCCACCGAAAAAAAGAAAAGAAGCCAGTCCCCACCGTGGACCATTTAAAAGATAGTTCACGCAGAGGATTGGTTGTTACAAACATCCAATCAGGTGCGCAGAAGACGTGGTCTTTCTTCGTCTAATTCATTAAAAGGCCAGAGTAGCTGTTAGCTGTTAAATCAAATAACATCACTGACGACCCTCTTAAAAGCGTATTTTTTAATATTATATTAAGCATTTCACTCCAAGCAAGGGGTTACAGAGTGGGAGCGAGAGTAAAGAGACGTGATGGAGGAAAGGATGGAGAGGAGGACAGGAAATAGGCTATTGCATCTGGAGATGTCGATTGACATTGCATTTGAATAGCTGGAGATTATAGCTATCAGGGAAACAAGTAATAGGAAGGGGATTCCACAGACGGGAGGTGCGATTGGAGTAGAAGAGACGGCTACATTTAACCGTTTCGACAGAGAAGGGGTGGGACTGTGATACCAGCCTAGTAGCGCGTTTAAATTCATGCAGTCTGGGAACTAGCGAAAGTAGCTCATTGGAGCAGTTACCGTGAAAGTATTTATAGAAAAGACAGAGGAAGGCGACGCCACGTCTGTCAGAGAGTGACAGTAGACGAGATGCCAGATCAGGACCAACAACATTCTCTGGATCTTGTCGAGGACCTTAAGGCGAACAGCGGGGGCACCAGACCATATATGGCAGCAGTATTCCAGGCAAAGGCGAATGGTTGATTTATAGATTTGAACCGTAAGATCTCACACCACCAAATATGTTATCAGAAATGAATTGCCAAACCCCCAGTATCGTCCCACGTGCCCTCTCCCCCGTTGAATAACAGCAAGACAATGTAGCATCATCTCTTCAAGTGGTCAGAAGCACGCAGGAGACATGTTTAGCCATGTAACCTCGTGAGCAGGAGTCGGAAACCTACGGCACGCGTGACACACGAGCAGTTTCCAATGACACACAGCCGCAAATGACATCACGAAGTCCTAACCAATAACTACTACAACGCAATGAAGATATTTAGCTGATTCAATTTTAATATATACTAAAGTATATATACTATATATTACTATATAAAATATATTGTAGAACAGGTATATTGACCTTGACTTGTATAAAAATACGTATGCTTTTTGGCACACTGAATGATTTTAAAATATGTTAGCGCATAGTTAGTAAAAGGCTGCCCACACCTGGTCTATAGCACGCTCGTATTTGCAGATCTTCCATGTGAACGATCCTCAAATTAATTCTGAACAACTTTGGCCCAGTGAAATGGTGCGTTGTCCTGTTGGAAATAACATCGTTGTTGACGTCTATGGTGTCCTTGAATGGGTACATGAGCCCATGCCTACATGAAGACCTACAACGTCATTATGGAACCGTCAGCATCTTTCACCGTATTTGGTTTTGCGCCACACCCGAATCTACTCTCAGAATTTGTTAGTAAATCTCGTTTTTCTGATTTATTCCCCGACAACATTTTAATGTAACAGAGTATGATTCATCTGGAATATAGATATATGCCCGCGTTTTACATTCGCCATTTGACAAAAGAGGCACTCCCAAAGAATGGGATTACCTGGAACTGTTTGCTTTTGTACCAGTGAAAGGCACGGTGAAGTAATAGATAGTGGATCGGATTGAGGAATCAGAGAGCCGAGTTCGAATTCCAGTTGAATCCATTACATTCATTTACGTGCTAATACCCTTGGGAAAGGTATGAATCCTCTTCTTCTCCCCACAGCTATGGGTAAATAGCAAGACAGTGTTCTACAGCCTTTGATGGCGACTGCTCTACCGCAGAAAGAAAATGCAACCGACTGCGGGAAAAAATCTGCCTCGTCAGTCATGTATCAAAAGATACATGATCGCCTAAGCGTGTATCACGCATGGCATGTAACTGACTGACTGACTTTCCAGTCGAATCCATTACATTCACTTACGTGCTAATACCATTGAAAAAAGTATGAATCCTCTTCTTCTCCCCTCCCCCAGCTATGGGTAAATAGCAAGATAGACAAGGTTCTATAGCCTTTGATAGCGACTCCTCTACCGCAGAAAGAAATGGTAACCTACTGCAGGAAAAAATCTGCCTCGTCAGTCATGTGTCGAAAGATACATGATCGCCTAAGCGTGTATCACGCATGGCCGACTCACCAGTGGAAGCTTCCCGTGTGTCTAAGTTATTAGAGCGAGTGAGTTTCGAATTGTATAAGAATACATTCAAAAAAAGTTTTATGAATTTAACTGTGCAAATATGAAACCTGTTAGAACGATAGCAGGTGACTTTCCGGCCTCTTGATTATAAAAGATAAGATTTGTGTTTAAATCAGCTTCGTACAGCCATATTTGTTTAGCCTCGTTCTCACATTGGAAGTTGATTTTTACCCAGCATAGAAAGATGCTTTCAACTGTGTTCACTTGTTAATATATTCATGATTACCTGTGGGTAAAATCTTAATAAGATATGCAAATGACAGTGTTGATGGCATACACAGAAATAAAACTACAGAAACTTCGAGACAAAGTAATAAAGGAACACAAGTAGAGAGTTGCCATCAAATGTAAGAAGACAGTATATGTGGTTATCAGCCAAAGAAAAAGTCAAGACTCAAGGTATTCTATTCTTCTTTTCATGGCAGATATTCGGGCGACCTAAAATCTTTCTTGACACCATGCCAAATCTTTTCGGCTAAGACCCGCTAGTTGACTCATTCCCATTCCTTTCATATTCCATTGGTGAGAAGGAAGTTCTACTAAGACATCTTCATTCCCAGAACTGTTGCAATGTGGAATCGACTGCCGACTGAATACTTTTTTAATCATTTCAACCCAGACAAAGCTATGACATACTGGGGGTAAAACAGAATGAGAAGATTTTAGTGATGAGAAAGGACAATACAAGAACGGCTTCTCATCAGACAGAAAATGACGAATGGCGTTTTATTTAAGATTTTAAATACTGTAGTTGGCCCTGAACACTCAGTCAGTTATGTGCCATGCGTGATACACGCTTAGGCGATCATGTATCTTTCGATCTGTGCTGCAATTTGCCCATAGATGGAGGAAGAATAGGATTTATACCTTTGCCAAGGTTATTAGCACGTCAGTCAGTCAGTTATGTGCCATGAGTGATACACACTTAGGCGATCATGTATCTTTCGATACATGACTGACGAGGTAGATTATTTTCGCGCAGTAGGTTGCCATTTCTTTATGCGGTACACCAATTGTCATTCAAGGCTATAGAACCCAGTCTGACATTCGATTTACCCATAGCTGAGTGTCGAAAGATGAGGATATTAGCACGTAACTGAATGTAATGGATTCGACTGGAATTCGAACTCGGCTCTCCGATTTCTCAATCCGAGCTGCTATCCATTAATCCACCGTACGTTCTTGAACAGTACAAAGTCTTAAACTTTTCAATACGAATATCAACCGTTATCTATCCTACATATCTTCAAAATATGCAAATCTTGCTTCCATCCTTGTATGCTCTTAAAGCATCTTCATTTAGTAACACTCTACTTTGAGTGGCTATTGAGCCTTATATTGGTGGAACAATTGTAAAAATAATGATTATGATTCATACATATGCGACGAGGAAATTAATGCATAGTGATCTTCTGGCGTTAGAACAAAAACAAAAGACATATCATGTCAGACGTGACGAATTTACCCAAGCACTGTCCCAAAGATGAAGACCATCAGAGAATAAGCCGGCTATCTCATCTAACCGGCCGGCACTATCAGCCGCAGAATTAATCGTGGCAGGTATGCCCGGTGGGTAGAAGGGAAAGTTGGCAATTTCAACAACCTCCGATGTCTACACTGGATTCTCTCCAAGCCCACAATTAATTTGACAAGACCTCCTCGACACTTTTTCGACCTCGAATTTTACTGCACGTCTTCCAGCAATTCGACAAATTACTTCTGATTTTAATTGTAAATCATTCGTAATCTCGAAAACTGACGAAACAAAATATATATTAGTGTCATCTATGGTGTAAAATGTTATTTGTAGATAGATAGATAGATAGATAGATAGATAGATAGATAGATAGATAGAATAAAATTAGATAGATAGATAGATAGATAGATAGATAGATAGATAGATAATAATGAATGAATTAGATAGATAGATAGATAGATAGATAGATAGATAGATAGATAGATAGATAAAAGACAGATAGATAGATAGATAGATAGATAGATAGATAGATAAAAGACAATTAGATAGATTGATAGATAGATAGATAGATAGATAGATAGATAAAAGACAATTAGATTGATAGATAGATAGATAGATAGATAGATAGAAGAGAATTAGATAGATAGATAGATAGATAGATAGATAGATAGATAAAAGACAATTAGATAGATAGATAGATAGAAAGATAGATAACAGACAATTAGATAGATAAAAGACAATTAGATAGATAGATACTGAATTGGCATAGATAGAGAGATACTTCTCTTTTACGGTTCATCACTTTCCTTGTATCGACGTATAATATCTCCTCTGGTCTATGTATAGCTTAAACTTTTTCTATCTATCTATCTATCTATCTATCTATCTATCTATCTATCTATCTATCTATCTGTCTGTCCCTTCGTGTCTCATATCTATCTTTCTCTCCTTATTTCCGATCTACCTTTCGATCTATCTACCTCTTCTTGTTTCAAAATCTATCTATCTATCTATCTATCTATCTATCTATCTATCTATCTATCTATTCACTTATTTCCTCCATGTTCTCTTCATATCTCTCTATCCAAGTCTAATCATATCATATCTTATGTCTGTTATCTCCTTATTTTCATCTTTGTATATGTTTTTTTGTTGGTTGGTCAATATATCTTGTTATGTGTGTGTGTGTGTGTGTGTGTGTGTGTGTGTGTGTGTGTGTGTGTGTGTGTGTCAGTGCGCGCGTTCTCGCATGTGTTATCATGTGTGTATAAAAGTGCAAATATAAATATATCTGTAAAGACAATATAAAGAAAAGACAAGCGGGAAAACTTTTATGCCAACGCGTTTCGTTTCTTTGAAGGACGTTATCAAGGTAAGTGTGGAAAATTTATTTTCTAACCTGGATTCATAACAGAATTAATGTGAACAAAATAAAATACTATTTAGTTTTCATATTTTGTATTAGAAAACGCTAGAAAATATTCTAAAATCTTACTGTTCTAAAGGATTTAAAATAGATAAATTAATAATAAATGTGGTACACTCTTGGGTAAATAAATAAATTCATTATATATATATATATATATATATATATATATATATATATATATATATATATAAAGCAGGATGTGTGTATCTATATATAACGAATACACGGTCGCAATTTTCGACGGATTTGCCCAAAATTTACATGCACATGCTCCAAGTTAGTGGGAAGGCCAAGAACGACCATGCATTTCCCAACTCCCATCGATAGTGGAAAAAATCGATTTTTTTCATGTTTCTACGGCAGTTTTCATGTAGTTTGCGGTCATTTTCTACTGGCCAGAGTGAGAGCCTATAGCTGGCTGCCACGAATATGCAGGGAGATTCAACTGGCCAGCGTGAAAGCCAACAGCTGACTGACACGAATGTTAAGTAGCATGCTAGCATGCAAAAAAAATCGATAGCTGCATTCGTCACAAGTGGGAAAATTTAAATCTGCATGGCACTTTACTCCAATTGGCTCATTCATGCTTAAACTCAACGTTTATTTGATTCCGCAGAACTGGGTTGGGTGTGAAAAAGTATTTGTTGTTAACATTCTTTTTTTCATTCGGTTTTCCAGTTACAGTCCTTTCTTAAAGCTGATCGTTTTGTGTTCATTTTGTTTCGTTCTTTTTTCGTAAGAGTTTTAATGTTTAGTATGGAGATTAGAAAAATTCGCAGTGTGAGATAGGCAAGAAGTAAGGCATGTAGCAACATCAGCACAACAAAGGCACTCCTTTAAGAGCAAGGAAGGGCAAAAAAATATTTTAAGTCAAGTGATAGCGATTGCTGTATAGAGTCATTACGATTTTTGAATCAAGCACAGGCAACATGAGGCCATATATATATATATATATATATATATATATATATATATATATATATATATATATATATATCTAAATATATATATATATATATATATATATATCTAAATATATATATATATATATATATATATCTAATATAAATATATATATATATGTGTATAATGTGCATATATCTAAATATATATATATATATATATATATATATATATATATATATATATATATGTATATATAACTCGTATCGTGGTTTTTTTTTTTTGAACTCTGAACTTGGATGCCAGACGATTGTCTTCGGCTGACGTACATGTTCTTTGTTCTTTCTTTCTTTTGTACCTTTTTTCCCTTTGGTATTGGCTTGTTTATTTGCAAATCAAGACACCGAAGGTTTTCCGGACGAGTATAATTTCTTATATTTATAAGATTATTACTAGTATCTAAATATATATATGTGTATACATACACACACACACACACACATATATATATATATATATATATATATATATATATATATATATATATATAATGTGCATATATTAAAATATGTGTAGATATATTTATATATATATATGTGCATATATCTAATATATATGTGTATATATATGTGTGTGCAGATAAATATATATATATATAATGTGGATATATCTAAATATATATGTGTATATATATATATGTGCATATATCTAAATATATATGTGTATATATATATATATGTATATATATAATGTGCATAGATATATATATATATGTGTATATATATATGTGCATATATCTAAATATATATGTATATATATGTATATATATATATATATATGTAAATATATATGTATATATATATATATATATATGTATATATCTAAATATATATATATATATATATATATATATATATATAATGCATATATCTAAATATATATATATATATATATATATATATATATATATATACAATTTTTATATATATTTATATATTATATATGCGCGGTACTTATTGGAAAGCGCTCAACATCAGAGATAGAGTTAACATATTTAGTTGGATTGATGTGAGTTTGTGAACGCCACTCATACGTACGCAGACCCGCATACATTGACGTTCACGCGTTGCAGCTCACACAAACGCGTTTGCATAAGTATATGTGTGTGCGGGAAAAACTTATTCAGCGAATAAAATAAGCGAACGATCGAAATACGCCGTTCCACACTGTTCATGTATGTTTATGTTCGATCTCTATATTCATGGAAAATGCTCGGACAAACTTGGTTCTTTAACGGCTAGGACCCGCCATCCCACTCATATTGTTGCAAACCACCTTCCCTCCGTATTCCAATGGTGAGACGTAAGTTCCACTCGAGCAGCTTCCCGAATCACTACTCTGTGGAACCGATTCCAAAAGGATGTTTCCCCTATCATTACAATCTTAACTTGTTCAAGTCTAGGGTTAAACGTTGTCTTCCCTCACTATCCGCATAAGCTGTACCTGTTATTCTGTAAACCGCTAACTTGAGTGACTCCCAGGCCTTGGACAAAGTGAACCTCACTGTAAAACAAATGATTAGTGTAGTAATAAACAATGATAAATGCGACACAAACTCTGGACGCGCATGAGGAATAATTAAATATGTCTTCCAGAAACTAAACACTGTATTCAGAGATAGAAAAATTTTGTTTGAAATGCACAAAAGAGTGTTGAATTTTTTTATAATATCTAATCTTCTGTATGATAAACATGCAGTTCTGTTCGATAAAAGTGACTTAACTGATTTTTTTTAATAAATGTTCTCTTCTCCGATGAAACGAAAGTTGAGCTAAATTCAAAGGATAAGCGATCTAAAATCCGAAGAAAAGCTTTGAAAGCTCTTTGAATTTAGCAGTAAAGTACTTTCAAGCATTCGTTCAGTATAATGTTCTTGGGATACGTTTCTTTTCATGGAACTGGTTACTTAAAACCTATTGAAAAGACCCTCAGGAGCGAGCAGTACAAGGGAATTTTAGAGTCTTGTCTGCTCTCTTCTGCTGAAAGGGTGCAAATCGACCCCACCAAGCTCATTTTTATGCTCCCTGTCACAAATCAAAATTGATAATGCTCCCTGTCACAAATCAAAATTGATGAAGGAATACTTTGATGAGAAGCAAGTGAGTGTTATGACATGGCTTCCCCAATCTCCTGACCTCAACCGCATAGAAAACTTATGGAACATTATAAAGTACAGGCTCTCGAGAAAGCAGTTGAGCAACAAAAAATATTATATCTCTATTATTCTTTATTTAAAGCTGTTCGGTTATGTTTCTATTGATTACTAGTTGCAGGAAATAAATGAATCACTTGTTTTTTGCACAGAGTTTTTCCCTAAATCTCATTTATATCCAAAATTATAACTATCAATAGAATACCTTAGGGTGAGTAAACTTTTTTACTAGGTGGTCAGGGAGAGGTCTTTATATTAGTAAGATTAAAAATTATTTTGGCCCCCAAAGCAATAAGCGAAAAAAGTCAAAAAATCAGATGAGTCACTTTTATCGAACATCACTGTATAATCTAATATGTTTTTTATATCTAATGTTCTATATGATAAACATACAATCTAATATTTTTATAATATTTTTTACTTCTCGATGATAAACATATAATTTAATATTTTTATATCTAATGTTCTATATGAGATACATACATTCTAATATTTTTATAATATCTAATCTTCTCCATGATAAATATACAATCTAATATGTTTTTTATATCTAATCTTCTAAATGATATACATATAATCTAATATTTTTTTATAATATCTAATATTCTATATGACATTGGATGCAGGATTATTCCCTCATAGATGAAAAAGAGTCTAAAAGCAAGAAATTTGATTCTGTCAATGAATACTAAGAATACGATGAACAAAGATATAAGCAAAGAGGAAAATATGAACTAAAAGGAAACGTACTTTTTTTTTTTAATTGGCATCACCCCATGAAAGGAAGTAAAGCCACTAAGACATAAGGAGTTACAAGGTGTGTAAGAATTAAGAACAGAAACATAAATAATGAGCGGAAAGAGAAAAGAATAATCAGGAGGACAGTAGATAACGACTGACATTGCATTTAAATTTTTGCAGATTAAAGTTAACTGAAATGCATAGAGCCGAGATAAAGGGAGAGTTCCAAAAAGGAAGATGTGCAAGAAATGAAACTGTTAGCAGAGAGTTTAGGATTACATCTGGCCAGCTCAACTGCAAATTGATGAGATCTAGACGACAGTCTAATACTGCACTTGAATTCAAAAAATCTAGGTAGGTACCATAGCGGAGAGCTCATCCGAATAATTTCCATGAAAGTATTTGTAGAAAAGAGACAGTGAGGCAACTTACAATCAGAAAGAGACAGAATTCTTTTGTGATGCATAAAAAGAAAAAGGCATGGAGAATTTGAGACTCACAGTTTGTTTTTTACGGTTTATCAACATTTTATGGGTTATTTAAAGCCCAAACCTATTTTAAATGACAAGAAATATTAATTTTTGCGATTGAATATCGCATTGAAAACTCTTTGAAATAGAGAATTCTTTAGACAAACAGGCAATTCTTAAATAGAAGCACCAGGTACAGAATCTACTATTTAACACGTAGTTGGATTCGTATCAGTGACGTTTTCGCGTTAACAAATGTAACGAATCTAGCTAGAATTCGAATTCATTTTTCTGATTTTTCTTTCCGAGCTGTTATCACTTAGACCAGCAGTCCCACGGTCCAGTCTCATGCAAGACGATTTTTCCATGGACTGTGGGTCAGTTTCGTGATCCGTGTCGGTCATGTACATAACAAAACAATAAACAAGACCGCCCCGATAGTCAATAAATTGTAAAAGAAGAAAGTTCTTATTCTTTCTGTCCGAACCGGTACTAAATGGTCGACGACCCGGTACCAAATGGTCTACGGTCCGGTACCGGTCCGCGGCCCTATGGTTGGGGACCGCTGCCTTACGCCACCCACATATCTTCGAGATCCATAGGGCATGTTTCTGTCAAAAATAAACGGGGAAACAGCTAGTAAAGAGTTTAAGTTCATGGATTTCAGAACGAAGACAGAGGTATCTTAAAAGGCCAAATCCCATAAATTAATATGAAGTTGTGGAGAGCCATGATCACGAACGTCCTGAAGGGTCATAGAATAAAAGATATGATTGAAGAGAGGTTAAGTGAAGATCATCAGGGTAAGTTGGGTAGATTATCCTTGACTTGAATGGGCTCAGTTTGTAGTGGTCAGGAAAGCAACTATGCGGGAGTCTGTTAAAAAAAGTGGCGGTTCTTGGAAGAAAAAGTGAGTGAAACTTTCTCCTGGCATTTGGGATGCTGGGATGATTGATGACATCAAAAAATGCCTCGAAACGTTTGTTTCTCTCAGTTTATTTTTTTTTATTTTTTTATTTTTTTTTGAGAGAGAGAGAGAGTGAGATTGAGAGAAAGAGATTACTCGGCTGGAATGCTTGCACGGATTTTCCGTGACTCTCTGTCACCATCTAACCGGTTTTCATTATATTTCGCTAATTCAGAGGGATTGTAGTTTATGCCACCACCAGTCTGCTTGATATAGGTCTTGTCTTGTCTTGTCGGCTTCTGCTAAACTCTCCCTTTTAGGCTCACACAGAAGAACTTCGCTTACAATTCCGTCTTTAGCTCTCTCTCAATGACCTGCAAATCTGACTCTACGCACGTGATGGCTGTTGCTGAACGAAGGTTTCCATACAATTGCTCATTGGTCAAACGATATCTCCAAGTGCTATTCAAAGTCATTCTTAACATTCGAGTTGAGGCTCTATCCAATCTTCTTTCCAATTTTAAGCTAAAGTTTCAAGCTGGGCGGCCACACATTAGAACAGAGGTAACAGTTACTAGAAAGAGTCTCCTTTTCATGTTTTCTGGAAGTCCAGATATCCACGCGAGAGATTTGTCGATGGCTACTCAGGTTTTACCAATGCCTGTATGTATATCGCTTTCGGGGTTTTACGACCGAGATAAATAAATTCTTTTACAAAGTTAAGAGGTGTGCCAGCTGTTGTTTTGATAGCTTCGGGAAATAAATTCCCAATATATAGTCTAATGGGACATTACAATTCTCAACCAGAAGAGAGATCGTCGTTGATTTTGATAGAAAGTAGCACTGGAAAGGAAAATGGCTGGCTGGTATCCATATTTCGAAATTATAAACTGCGAGGCCTGGAGATTCCATCACCTTAATCAAAGCCAAACACTGACTGGAAGAGGGGAGGAAAGTCGGCCAGTTCATCTGTATGATATGTGAAAGAAAATGAAATAGGAGTCGGCCATCTTTGCGATCCGAGGAATACTTTATCGCAGAATAGCAATGGGACTGGTACTGCTGATAAAAGACAATGACCCTTGAGGTCAGCCCCATCTGAGCAAGATAAATTCAGAATTTATCACTTGAGCTTATGAAGAACGGAATCTCTGAATATAGCAAAAAGTCAGAATATATCTCAAGGTACGGAACTCTATAAACAAACAGACACACACACACACGCACACACATACACACGCGCACACACTATGCTATATCTATGGTGAATAGTGCTTAATATTATGGATATAGGGTATGTAAATAGAAAATAAAAAAGTGGACACTGAGATCAACACCCGGTAGTTTGGTGTTGACCTCACTGTCCATTTACACACACACACACACACACATATACACAAGCACACACACGTGTGTGTGTGTGTGTGTGTAGGAAAAGCATTAAATTTAACATTTCGCTAAACAAATAAATGCTGTATTTTTTCACTTCTTCCATATATAAACACACACATATATATATATATATATATATATATATATATATAGTGCGATGGGTAAATTGTCGACATATTATATTTTTATTTCGTGCATGTCTTTTGTTTTTTATTTTGTCGACTACACTGTATAGTAGGGTCAGTTGAGCACCGTCGGTGAGAAAAAAAAAACACCATAACGCAATTCACTAGGCCAGAAATTTGGAATCACCATGCTGTACCGCTTGGCTTTCACGCCTGAAGTTCCAGTACGAACATTTCAGACACTTTAGGTTTCAATCTGAGGACAGTGTAGTGGATTTGGAAAAAATTGGATGAGTCTGATGGTGATTACGAAGGTTTTTGGAGTGATCACTAGTGATAACGACGTTATGTCTCAATTCATCTTCCCGCAGGGCCTCAGACTCAACACAGAGGCCTAGATCAAGCGCCTTGAGGAGGTAGTGCTGCCATGGGTCAAGCTAATAGCTGCTTCAAAACCATATGTTTGGCAACAGAATTATTCCACACTAGCAATAGAACCCAGTCATTGCTGTCAGACAATTTATGCGAACACATCTGGCCGCCTAACTCTCAAGACTGCAACACCATTGATTATTACTTGTGGGCGCAGTTAAGAGAGAAATCAACATAGCTTCTTGTAACCCAAAAGATGAACTGAAGGCAAGCATTATGGCAGCATATGCCAAGTTGAACAAGAAGAAGATTTGCATGAGTTTCCGAAGTTGTGGTTGAAGCCAATGGCGAGTTTATTGAATAAATTTAATCATTAGTATTTCAAGATATTTTTGTGTAATTTTGGTAAATATATCTGTTAAAACGAGATGTCAGCGTTATTTTCATTTTGGCATCATTTAGACGACAATTTATCTATGGCACTCTGTATACATACATACATACATATATACATACACACACATATATATATATATATATATATGTGTGTGTGTGTGTGTGTGTGTGTGTGTGTGTGATAGAAATGAGAGAGGATTTGAGATAATTATAATTAAGTAATTCATCGAGTCTAGAAGAAACCTCAACAGAATGCAGAAAGCACTGGACAGCCATCCCAATTAAGTAATTCATCCAGTCCAGTGCTTTCTTCTGTCTGTTGAGGTTTCTCCTAGACTCGATGAATTACTTAATTATAATTATCTCTATGAGTCAAGGATAAACTCGGATGAGTTCCACCACAGAATATGTGATCGAACGGCGTACCTTCCGGGTTTCAATTCTCGGTAGTGGATGTGCACTGCCGATAAGTCCCAAATATAGGACGAAGCGGCCTTCCTGTGCTTTCTGCATTCTGTTGAGGTTTCTTCTAGACTCGATGAATTATTTAATTATATATATATATATTTAATGAATTATTTAATTATATATATATATATATATATATATATATATATATATATATTTAAACAGCAATCCTTCTCTTTTATACAAATTTTCGTTAAACCCGAATGACAAGGTACTGCGATTAAGTTTTTATTTAATTTTTCTTGAGTTTGTATAAGTGTTTTATTTTCTGGGCAAAAATTGTGTAAAACCAAATACTCTGAACTCTGAATTTCCGAGCCTTTTCGACTATACTTTTAGCCATTATCAAGGATGATTTTATTTTTACTTTTTAACTGAATGTATGCGTTTTGTGTATGTATCTAGAGTTATAGGGATGTTTTATTTTGGAAACACAGTCAGCACATTGTGGCTGTGTTCGTAGTTAATGTTATTGAGTGTTGGCTTTTTCATTTTTTTCTATTCGATCTTCTATTATTTTTAATCTTTTTACGTGTGCATGAATTTATTATGCTTGTATTTTCTACTAATATGTTTCGGATTGAGTCTTGTGTGTGTGTGTGTGTGTGTGTGTGTGTGTGTGTGTGTGTGTGTGTGTGTGTGTGTGTGTGTGTGTGTGTGTTTAAATGATGCAATTATTTATGAGTTTGGTTTGACTTAGTATAAGGTTAGCTGTTTTAAATTTTTGTAATAGATAATTTTTTTTTGTTCTGGTCAACTGTTCATTTTTTATGATATTTCAAAGTAAAAATTTATCTTCTGTATAGTTGACGTGATTTAACTTTTGTAGTAGATATTTATGTGTGTTCAGTAACGTTATTATTTAATTTGGAAAGAAACAGTCTAATCTGGTGATCGATGAGGTAGTTAGGAAAACTATTGTTTTGCATCGTTGAATTCTTTAAAGAAAAGTAGATGAGAGGATGAATTCTTGTGTGCTCTCTTTTTCTTGAACTGGAATTGTAATAATTGTCCGTAGTGTTTATTGTCCTAGCTGTTTTCGAGTATTTCTTTTGCCATTTTCAAGTGGTTTGTTGTTTACACTCCCTTACCAAACGAAAAAGTTTAAGAATGCTAGAAATCCTCAGGAAAAAAATTAACAATTTTCCGTTTCTGTCATACATACATAAATACATATAAAAGTGAATATTAAATTCAATATTCAGAGGCGACAGACTATTTCATGCTTAACACAATCATCAGGCCACACACGTGTTGGTTTTTTTCTCAACTATTTATATATACGGGTCACTGGTGGATTGTGAATTGTTCATTCTAACGGTTATTTTGGCGTGAGTGGTTATTTATTTATTTATTTGGATTCCTTTATTTTACTTGTTTTTTTTTTTTTTTATATTTTATATATTTATTTATTCTTTTCGGTTTTCGATGTTTTAGTAACGTGGTAAAAAACGTTTTGAGATTAATTCAGATCGTATATTTAATAGTTTGTTTTGGTCTGGGAAGGTAATTTGTTTTGATTTGCAAAGTTTATAGCTTTAATTACCTTCCTAGACCAAAATAAATTATTAAATAAACGAGCTGAAATAATCTCAAAAAGTTTTTTACTGCGTTACTAAAATATAGAACAGCAAAAAGAATAAAGAAATATATAAAATAAAAAAAACAAGTCAATTAATCCAAATAAATAAACCACTCCCGCCAAAAGGTGGGAGTGATCTATTTATTACCCGTTAGAATGGACTACCCACAATGCACCACAGACCCGTAATATAAATAGTCGAGAAAAACACAACACATGTAGCCTGATGATTGCGTCTAGCACGAAACCGTCTGTCACCTCTGACTGTTGACTTCAATGATCACTTTTATATTTACATACGCTCTATCTCTGATATTGAGCACTTTATTCCATAAATATAGCACGCCATAAAACTATATTTCTTCATATATATATAATTAAACTAAAAACCGTGTGCTTCTTATAATATATAGATTTAATAGGTCGGTTAATAAAATTTGAGAAATAAAAGGCCAACAAATGATAACATTATTCGCAATAAGATTCATAATATTTATATATTAACTTTTTGACTAAATTGTATCACGAAGAGAAATATTGTAGAGCCTGTATTTTAAAACACACCCGAGTCCTTTTTCAATGAGATGAGAAATAAAGAATGTAGTGGGACTTACTCTTCCAACAAATGTTGTTATTTATGGTTAACATTTTACATTTTAAGCCCTTTTGGGGGCGATTGTCATCTGTTGATTCGTCGTTTTCTCCCTAATCTCACCCACGTCAGATGAAAAGGAATTTTAGTGTTGGTTAAACCAGAAGTTGCGGGCTAACAGGTGATTAGAGATTTGCGTTATGCGATGACTTTGCTAAAGATCCTACTTTCTTTGAGAAAACAGTTACTGCAACTAGCCACTTAGAAACATTACAAACCACTGTAGTTCCTGTTTTACAACAAAAAATGATTTTCATGAATTTTACTTTCAACAGAATGGGACTCCGTCACATTTTCCTCTTAAAGTAAGAAATTCTCTTGATGCAACATTTCCAGGAAGATGGCTAGG